AACCGGCTGCGCAGTCGCGCCCTGGGCTCCCGGGCCTGGACAGACCTGGAGCGACTGCAGGTACGGGCAGAGGCGGGGGCATCACCACCCGGAGCCCACCGTCTGCTGGGGAGCTGGGTCACGCAGAGGGTCCAGGCACGCTGGGCCACCCCTGCTGGTGTGACCAGACCGCTGGACCCCAGCCTGAGGCATGCTGTGGGGAGAAGGGGTGCCCCGTCTGCTAGGAGAGGGGCCCAGGGATGTCTGGTCAGGGGAAGAGGCCTCAGGTTTGAGACTCCCCCCAACACACACACACACACACACACACATACGCACTCGGTGGGTCTCCAGAGGGGAACTGCCTTAGACAAAGTGGCCGGACTATGAGACAGAGGCTGCCCTCCCCTGCCTGGCCGCTACAGACCCCCCCCACCATGCCCTTGGGACCCTCCCCCCAATGTCACTTGCAGGGGCGGGGTTCCACACCCCAGCATCTCCTGGGCATGAGGTCATTACTGGCTGGCTGGCGACCGGCTCCTCCCCTAGGACAGAGGCGGGTATTTGAGTCCCTTCCTGGGGCCTCAGCTTATGACGCTGTGGGAGCTGTCGGCATTGGGGGTCTGAGATAGGCCCAGAGCAGAGGAGGGTGTGCGGAGCACTAGGGGGGTTCAGGAGGAGCCGCTGGCCTGCAGGCGCTGCTGAGGGGCTTTCCCACTGGGTGGTCCTGCCCGCTGCCAGACCTGGGGAGCCCCCTGGGTCCCACCCTTCTGGGGGCGCCTCGGGAGCTGACTCTGGATCCCTCTCTCCCTGCCCCCGCACCTGTTTCTGCTGCCATCCTGGCTCACCGGCACCCCTGACTCGACTCTCCTTTCACAGGCCTCTGACTGCACTAACACCCGCCATGACTAAACCTGCCTGTTCTCCCCATCCCTGCTGCCCATGTCCAGCTGTGCTCCTGCCATTTCTGGCCTGGGCACTAGCCTCCAAGGAGCCCTAACATCCCTGCTCCGTACAATCAGGGAACAGTGGGAAGCATGTGGCCACCACCCACTCCTGTCCGGATGGAACCTTCCATAGCCCCCAGTGCCCGAGAAGCAGGCCTGTATCCGCACAGGATGTAGGGCAGGCCGAACCCTGTCCTGGGAGCACCTCAGGTCCCTCTGCTGGATGCCCTCAGTGAGCTGCCCCTAGGGTGCCAGGCCCAGTGAGGAATGAGATGCACAGAGGGTTGCCCGCCTTCCTGGAGCTTGTCTCTAGGATCAGCTTGGGGCTCACTTCCTCCTGGAGGCCACCCATGATACGTCCTGGACCAGGGCCACTTTAGTCAGGGATGCGGTATTCGGGGTGTGGGGGAGACTCTTGTTGCTAGATCTTTCTGTGTGTAGCTGCTCCTGTGTGTGGCACCCCCAAAGCAGGATGCCAGCATCTCCTGGACTCCAGTCCCCAGCCTCTGGGCCATGAGGATGCTCTAAGGAGGAGCACAGGAGCCGGGGACAGAGCAGAGGGCGCAGAAGCCTGTGGGAGGAGGCGTGGGGCTCCGTGTCCTCCTGGACCGTGGACAGCCTCACTCACTGCCTGGTGCTGGGCTCATGGGCCCCAGCATGGCAGGGCAGAGAGAAAGCTCGAAGTCACCCAGCTGTGTTGGGGTGGGGTGGGGTATGCTGATATGGGGACTGCAGACGTGTCCCCACCTGGAGAGGTGCCCCTATGGCCCTGCCTCCTGGCATGGTCCCTGCTCCCACTCCTGGCCCCAGGCCCCCTGCCCACCTACTCCAGGGCCTGCAGGCTGATTCTGAGAGAGAGTCCAGGTGCTGCCTGGGAGGTGCCGAGTATGTGAAGGTGAGGGATCAGGCCTCTGGGCAGATGCCTTGGCTGTGCATTCACAGGGAGCTGAGGGGCACCATCCTCAGGGGGTGTCCCCCCTCTCACAGATAGTGGGGTTCAGGCACGGTGCTGAGCCATGTCCCCATCAGCAGGGTGTGATGGGGCCCAGCTCCACCTCACAGGGTGACGGTGAGGTTTCCGTGGGCTGGGCGCTCACAGGGGCCCCGTGGGCTGTGGGGAGCTTTCACCCCTGGACCCTCCTGCAGCTGCTGGACATTGCGGGGAATCAGCTCACGGACATCCCCAGCGGGCTCCCAGAGTCGCTCGAGTACCTGTACCTGCAGAACAACAAGATCAGCACCGTGCCAGCCGATGCCTTCCAGTCCACGCCCAACCTCAAGGGGGTCTTTCTCAGGTAGGAGGCACCGGGAGGCCACCTGGGAGGGTTTGTGCTCCCCTGGCTTTTGTGGGAGGTGAGCTGGGACACCGGGTGCGGCCCCAGCCCTAACCACATGGTGGGCACAGGTTTAACAAACTGGCAGTGGGCTCAGTGGAGGAAAGCGCCTTCCGCAGGCTGAGGCACCTGCAGGTCCTGGACATCGAAGGCAACTTCGAGCCTGGGACTTCCAAGGAGCCGGGCCGGCAGGAGCAGGAAGCAGAGGAGGACGAGGAGGACGAAGAGGATGAGGAGTCACGATAAGGACCAGGTGAGGCGGACCCCAGCGAGATTGGTCACGACGGGGGGCCGCCTCCTGACTCTCCCCCCCCCCCCTGCTCTGCAGATGGATGGACAGCTGGACACCCTTGCTGGGGCCTCAGCTCTCCCCTGCCTGCAGTGTTTCTCACGGTCAGACCTGGCAACACGCCCAGACCCTCCCCAGCTGACTGCACGGCCACCACCCACACCTCCCAGCAGCGGTCCATCGGAGCCTGCGGGATGGAGGGCCCTGAGCCTGCCTGTGCACATACAGTGCTGCTCCTTCCCCACGGGCCAGCGGGCACACCAGTCACTGGTCAAAGCCCTCCGTGACATGGTCGGGGTCACCGGTGCCTCTTGTCCCAGCTGGAGGCAGGCAAAACCCCTCACCAGTTGCTACCTGACCCCCCAAAATGACAGTTACCTCCAAGGTCTGTGGCCCAGGGCCACCACCCTCAGACTCAGAGGAGCTGGGTTTTGTTCCTTCCCTCGCTTGGGGCCCAGGACCCCCACCTGGCCCCGACCAGGATGTCCACCCGCTCTCCCTCCAACTGCGAGGACCATCCCTTGGTGGACGGTCTTGCCCACTTTGCCCAGAACATCTGTGATGGCCACTCAGGGTGACTTGGCGGGACATTCATGGGGGCAGCCAGTGGGGGAGGCAGAGGCCAGTGGGGACAGGTGAGCATCCACCTGGACCCGTGAGATACCTATTAGTATTCTTAGGGCCTGTGGGGAGATTCTGGGAACCTCTGGGTGTTTTTGTTTGTGTGTCTATTTCCTTTTGCCTTCCTTTTTTTTTTTAAACTCTTTTTTAAGAAAAGAAAAAAAAAGATAAAAATGTGGAAGATGTTACTTGTCACAGAAAAGCTAATATAAAGCATCACCCTGTCTGGCAGAGTCTGTGTGTGTGTGCTGCGGGTCTGGGTGAGAGCTGGGAGTTGGCCAGCAGGGCCTGCGGTTCTCTCGGCAGCCCCCTGCACACCAGCTTCGGGCAGCACCTCGGGGTGAGCAAAGGCTGCCACTGCCCCAGCTCTCCTGGGGGGTCTCTGCCCTGAGCAGCTCACCGGGCTGGTCTGTGTGAGGCCCGAAGCTGACATGGTCCCAGGTCGATGCCACAGAGGGGACAATCAGGCCAAGGCCAGCACTGGGGGCAGCCCCAGCCCAGAGCAAAGCCATGCCAGTGGCACACAGCGCTGCCCAGTGGATGGGGCCCAGCAAGTGGGGCCCCTTCCGTATTGGCCCCATGGGAGCATGCTTGGGTCCAGCCCAGGAAGGAGCAGGCTGAGCTCGGTGGCAGCTGGACTCCAGTGCTCACAGGCGTGAGGTATGATGGAGTATGTCTGCATGTGACCCTCCGTCCCGTCTCTTTGGCCCCTGCAGGCACTCTGGGGTCAGGCCCTCGCTGGACCCCATACACTGGCCTGGGAGGAGGGGCAGTGCTCAGGAGTGGGGGCTGGAGTCAGGTGCCTTCCAGCCTGAATGACCTCAGTGGGGGGCTCTGTCCCTTGGCCTCAGCTTTCAGGCCCCTGTGCTGCATTGCTTGGCAAAGTGTGTCTAGAATAGGCTGCATGTTGGAGTCCCCCACATCCCCTCCAGCCTCCTGGAGACACCCAGGGAGGGAGGAGCCAGGAGACAGCCTGGAAATACCCTCAGCAGCCCCACTCCTGGAAGCAAAGCCGCTACCCAAAGAACCCGGTCACTGGGGGAGCTGTGTCTGCCCGCTGGCTACCCAGACGGATGCGTCCACCCGCTGACTGCACTCACAGGCCCGTCCGCTCTGGAGATGGACTGTGTCCTCAGCCCGGGGCAGTCACAAAGCCCGCGGAGCTTGGACAACAGATGAACTTTACCAGACTAACTCTGAGTTTGCAAGTACAGGAGGGAGGGAAGGGGCAGGGCTGCTGCTCTTGGGGCAGCACAGGCCATTGTGGTAGAACCCCAGTCCGGCCCAATAGAACCAAACTGAACCAGAATGGAAATCCATCTCACTTCTGCATGCAGGTGTGGGGGAGTTCTGGCCAAAGCATCCAGGGCGGCTGTCCCCAAGGGGCCTGGTGGGCACCTGCCCAGTGGGAGGCCAGCCTGGCCAGAAGACTCCCGGTGGGGAAACCTGCCCAGGACCTGCGGAGGACTGGGACCAGCGTGCCCCCCGCCCCTGCCTCCCACCAGTTGGACTCCCCCGGACCTCTGAGGAACGTTTTCTGGGGCAGAGACAGTGGTCTGGGCTGGTCCAAGCAGGTGTTCTGTCTTCACAAACTGGAAGTGCACGGCCGCCACCCCTGTCCTGCCGAGCCTCCTGGCCCCAACGTTGGAGCCTGAGACCAGGGGCAAGTGTGCTGAGCTCGCAGAGTCTCGAGTCTGTCATCCCGCGACATGCTCCCTGCTTCCAGGCTGGGCTCTGCCAGACCCCCGCCATCTCTCTGAACTCTGTTTCCCACCAAGTACAGCTACTTCCGGCCTTGAGTGGGTGGGACAGCATGAGGCCCCAGTGGTGGGCTCAGACGTTGGTCTCCAGCTCGTTGATCTCGATGGTGCAGTGGTCAGGACTAGCCCTGGCCAGCTCCTCCTCCGTCTCTGCCTGGACGGGAACGTGGTGGGGGCAGGCGGTGCCCAGGGTCAGCTCCGAGGCTGCGGCCACGATCTTCACACAGCCGTTCTGCTGCGTTGCCAGGATCTCTTGGAGGCTCACGGGCTTGGTGTCAGGGGGTGGCAGTTTCTGAGGCAGAGAGACAGGCCTCAGTGGCGGCAGGCTGGGGGCAGAGGTTACATGCTAGGGGCACTGAAGGAGCAAAGGGCCAGGCTGTGCCACGGGTGGTCTCCCACATGCCTGTGGGGCCCCGAGATCACAGGGCCCCTGAGCTCTCGTGCCAACCTGCTTCCCCTCCTAGGTTGTCTTAGCATAGAGGGGACCCCAGTCCAGGTGTAGTTTCCAGCAGTGGGGGCAGCAGCTTGCTCCTATGGGCATTAAGGAGCCCCACAGCCCACAAAAGCATGTGCAGTGCAAATGCCCACATCTTTGCCAGCATTTGAGGTCCTAGATTCAAACCGCTGCATCTCATGATCCAAAAGTGTGCTCCCTGATGACCCCTGACCTTTATCTGGTGTGGTCCCTGCAACAACAACTAAAGAAGAGGCGTGGTCAGCAAGACCCCTAATATATGAGCTCTGGGATCTGGATTAGGACGGGGTCAGGGGTAGCTCAACCGTAGCAGGTAACGCAGTTACCCCAAACCAGAGGATTTGGGGTGCAGAGGCAGGGAGGCTGAGCTGTCCCGCTGGTGGGTGGAAGAACTGGGATTCTGCACCCCTTTCCCCAGTCTACACCACCTCCCACCCGCCCGCTGCCTTGGTGTGGCCGGGCTGAGCAGGACCGCCTCACCTCAGAGCCCACACTCTGCGCAAAGTCCTTCCGGCAGATGTGAGCCATGATCCCTGCAGCCAGCGCGTCCCCCAGCACGTTGATCATGGTGCGGAAACGGTCCCTGGGGAGCCAATGGGTGGCATGGGGGGCACCTTACAGCCAGGGATGCTGGGACAGGGTGACAAAGCCCACCCCAGCAGGCCCGGGTCTGGCTGCCGGGTGCTTTTTGGTCCCCGTATCCCCGCTCTGTGGTGCTTTGGGTGGACATGCAGACAGGGGGAGGTAGGTGCCGCCCAGCGGCCGCAGTGTGTCTCCAAGTAAGGGACATCGTGAACGCGGGTGGGAACGCGCCCTGTGTCAGGCTGGTGTGGGCGGGTTTGGCACCCCATGCTGCCCCCCACCCCCCCAGTCACGGAGGCCATCCCCTACTCACAGAGCCCAGTCGACAGCGATGATAAGGGTGATGTCGTCCGTGGGCAGCCCCACGGATGTGAGCACGATGACCATGGTGACAAGCCCAGCTTGGGGAATGCCAGCAGCCCCGATGCTAGCTGCAGTGGCCGTGATGCTGGGGTGGAGGGGAATGGGGAGGCTGCTGTTAGTGCTCCCTGTAGGAGTACCATTCGGGACCTCAGACCTGCCACGGAGGTAGGTGTGGGTGTGGGCACACCCCTGCTTGGGGTCCTGGGGCTCCATGGGCCTGTCTTTGCCTGGGTGAAAGTCACCAAGAAATCCTGGGAAAGCTAGTGTCTGAGCTGCTGCCTCTGGCGGGGCCCAGGGGCTGGAGCCTGGTCCCAGAATGATCCTGGAATCCCCTGTATGGTATGAGAGGCCTCCCGCTGGCCTCTGCCCTCCCTCGTAGCCTTCTCTGGGTGGCCCTCAGCTTGCCCTGGCCTCTCTTTGCCCTGAGCTGCCTCATGGCTACCCTGGAGGCCCCTCCAGTCTGGGCCCCCCAGCTGGCTAGGACCCCCTCTCTGTGAGTCAGAACGGGCAAGGAGCAGAACCCCGTTCCCGAAGGCCAGGTCAGGGGTGGCCTGGAACGAGACCTCCCCGCTCTGAGACCTCCCCACCCCGTACCTGCAGGTCAGGAGCCCCCTCTCAGCACGCCAGCCCCCCGTCCCTCTTCCTCCGCACCAGGGTCAGGGCTGGGCACACCTGATGGTGACGATCTGCCCAAAGTCCAACTCGTGGTTGTTGACCTGGGCGATGAAAATGGCAGCCACAGCCTCGTAGAGCGCGGTCCCATCCATGTTGATGGTGGCGCCCACGGGCAGCACGAAGCGGGCGATGCGCCGGTCGATGTGGTTGTTCTCTAGCAGACACTTGAAGGTGATGGGCAGCGTGGCCGAACTGCGGGCAGAGGGGCCAAGAGTGCCCATCTCGCTCCCTCAGGGCTGCCTTGGGGCCTTGGCATGGTGGCCAGCAGGGCCTTCCTTCAACTCCTGCCACGCGTGGGCCAACAGGGGAGTGGGGTTCTGGTGCCTTGTCCGTGCTGGCTCATAGAGAGGGCAGCTGAGCCAGTTGGGGGGCCGAGACCAGAGGGACCTCCAGAGGGGGCACACGGGAGCCTCTGGGCCTCACTCCCAAGAGAATGGGGCTTCGATCCATCTCTGAGGGCCAGACACGGGCATTCCCAGTGCCCAGCTGGGATGAAGGCGGCCCTAGTTTGGGGCAGCCTCCTCCTAGCCTGGTCCCCTTGTCCCGAGAGACCCCTGGACTGCAGAGCTGTGAAGGGCCCATGGAGAGGGGGGCCTAAGGCCAGCGCCCCATCACTGGCTGCCACTGCCACTGTGGTGGCCATGTGACTCCTGCAGCTCCAGGCAGTACTGGCCCTGGAGAGGCCCCCAAGCCCATCCTGTCCCCGGCCCCCTGGGCACTGTATGTCAAAGACCAGGCTCGTTCCCCTGACGACTCCTGACCTGTGACCCGGACTGTACAGAGGCTCCCCCTGCCCTAGGGCCAGCGATGGTTCTAGGGGACAGAGCGTGGCAACCCCTGTCCTGCTGGTGCCCCACCTGGAGGAGGTGGCCAGCGCGATGAGAAGGGCCTGGAGGACGCCGCGGATGAAGACGATGGGGTTCTTCTTGGTGATGAGGAAGTAGAGCAGGGGCAGGAGGAAGAGGCCGTGGGCCACCAGGCCACACACCACTGTGATGGCGTAGAAGCCCAGCTTCTTCCGGACGGCCGCGGGGTCGTCCATCTCCAGGATCTTGCCGGCGATGAGGAACACGATGCCGAAGGGGAAGTACCTGGGGCAGTGGCCACAGGCTCAGGCCCATGAGGATTGAGAGTCTGGGCCTGGCTGGACCCCTACAACATAGCCGCCACCTCAGCCAGTCACCCCCAGGGCTCTGGACCAGAGAACACACGTGTACCCGCCCCCCCCACGCCCGAGGCCAGCAGCTCTGGAGAGACCTCTGTGTCCTCCCTGCTGAACCCCACAAGGTTGGCCTAGAATATTCCCCAGGCCTGACCTCTGACCCAGGAGGGGCACGAGTTCAGGGCTCCCTTCCTCCTAAAGCTGAGCTGAAGAAGGCCATGGGGAAACTGAGGCGGGTACAGTCAGGCCAGGCTTAGCTCTTAGCTGTCCTCCTGACAGGGCAGGGGGCACCCGAAGGACACGTGGGGCCTCCTGGCAACTTTCTGTTCCCACCCTCCGTTCTCTGCGGTGGCCCCTCTGTGAGGCTTACCACACGGCCACGGCCACGATCTTCATGACGGACTCATTGAGACACTGGCAGAAGCTGAGCAGGGGGGCCCCGCTGTCACCCATGCGGCCCAGCATGATGCCTGAGGGGCAGGAGGGTCATTACTGTTGCCCATGGACACTGCGGCTTGCAGCAGGAAGGGGGCAGAGGCAGGGGGGCACCCGGGGGCATGTGGAGACCAGCTCTGGGCTGATTTCCCAGCAGCCTCCAGGCCCTCATGCCCGACTCTCTCCACGGCCCTGCACGGTGGCCTTCGAACCAGCTGCCATCTCTCTCCTCCCACCGTCCCTGTATGCTTCAGGTAAACTCACTTCCCTGCCTCTGCCACACTAGGCTCGCAAGCTCCTCCGCCTCCAGACCCCTCTTGACCTGTCCCACCTGTTCTGGCCTTCTCCAGCCCCGACATCACTCCCGGCCTCTTTAGGCTTCGACAATCCACAGGGCTCAGGCTCCTGGAACACCAGCCACCCTGCTCTCTGTGTGGGCTGGAGACCACCGCACCCGCGGCCAGCGCCCCACTCCGCTCTTGCAGCATCTGCCTCTGGACCAGACCTCTATGACCGCTCACCCTGCACCTCCCCGAGTCTCGCTTCTGTGTCTCCTCCAGCGGTCAGCTCCGCAGGGCGAGAACAGTCTCCAGAGAGAGGGCACACAGTTACCTGGAATCTCTCCTGGAGACCCCGAGACCCGCTCCCGCTCCCTAAGGTTCTGGCTTTCTGTCACGGCCGCTCTGCCCTCTGTGCTTCGGGAAGTGAGCACTGTGCATGGAAGTGAGCACCGCCAGGTCTGCCTCCTGCAGTGACAGTGGCCGGCCACCCTTCTGGTCACAGACGTGCCGAGCAACACCCCTTGGAGCTGCCCTCATGAGGCCATTATCCCTGGGCTCTTGTCCAGTCAGGGAGGGGCAGAGAGCTGGACCCCTGCCGAGGGGACCCCAGAGAAGGGCTCCCCGAGCCCACACTGTCCATGTGGTGGCAGGGTGGCTGGGCATTCCCAGTGCCCAGCTGGGATGAAGGAGGCCCTGGTTTGGGGCAGCCTTCTCCCAGCCTGGTCAATGTGACCGAGGGCAGCCTGGCTGCTCTTGGGCCCAGGGCCCCTCCAGCTCTCTTCCTCCCAGGCGGTTCCTGCAGCTCATCGGCTCCATCAGGACTTTCCAGGGGCAAACCAGGGCTGCTGGCGGGGCCAGAGGGACTGTAGGCTCCACACCAGGGAGGTGGAAAAAGGCAGGTGAGGAGCCCAAAGAGCACGAGTAGGACCACTGTGCCTGCATGCTCAGTCACCCAGACATGGGCATGCACTGATGGGCCACACACCAACGTGGGCACGCACCAACGTGGGCATACACAGATGTGGGCACACACTGACATGGCCATGCACCTATACTGGCATACACCAATGTGGCCAAGCACAGTTGTAGGCAAACATCAATGTGGGCAAGCACCAATATGGGTACATATCAATGTAAGCATGTACCAAGGTGGGCATGCACCAATGTGAGCACACACCAATGTGGGTACACACCAATGTGGGCATGGGCCAATGTGGGCATGTGCCAGTGTGCAGACACACATTGATATGGGCAGGCACAGATGTGGGCATATACTGATGCGGCCACACACTGCTGTGGGCATACAACAATGTGGGCACACAGTGGATGTGGGCATGCACTGATGTGAGCAGCACTGGTGTGGGCACACACAGACACAGGCAGGTTCTGATGCCCGTGCAGAGAAGAGGGCACACGGAGGCACAGGCACCAGCTGATGTGGGTGCATATCAGGTGGACACAAGCCAGACAGTGCCCGGGCACTGAGTGACTGAGCCAGGGGCCCCAGGGTCTCTGCCTAAGGATGCTCTTGGAGGCACTGCTGGGAGGAAGGACTCTGGACTGGGGACTCGCTGCCCCAGCAGCTGGCCAAGAAAACAAAAGCTCCAGGGCTGGGGAGAGAGCCCAAAGGGCGGGGCACATGCTTGGCACGTGGGCACCCCAGGTTTGATCCCTGGTACCACATGGTTCCCTGAATACCTCTGGATGGGGCCCCTGAATAAATGAAAAATATATGTACTGATAAAAAAAGAGCATCTCTCCGGTCATGTAGTCATTCCTCTGTGCAGGTGGGCAGGACGCCAGCCCCACTGTGGCCAGGGCCGAGGGAGAGGGGCCAGGCCCCAGCTGCTGGGCAGACATGAAACATTACTCAGGCGATTACATAACAGCCAGGGGTCAAACGTTTAAGTCAGGCAGCGATGGTGGAGCTCAGGACATCTGACCAGTACATGGGTCCGGGGGCACCCAGAGGACATGGCCTAGGCCCCTCCAGAACGAGGACATGCGGGAGAGAGGAAGGGAGCGCAGTGGGCGGAGAAGGAAGCAGCTGCATGCCTGTCTCACCTCGAACCCGTTTCCAGGCGCCCCGAGAGCCCCATGGGCTTCTGCAGGAACTCCATGTCCCCTCGGAGGACACAGCAGAGCACGGACCTGTCGGCAGCTTCGGCAGAAACCAGTGAGGCTGCCTGGCCGGGCGGAGGGGGCGGAAGGCAAGCGAGACTGGGGGAAGGTTCTGGCTGACTAAAGAGAGGTGGACCCGAGCTGAGGGGGGAGTCGAAACTGACCCTCAGCTCTCCTGCCTGGGGGACGGGAGGCTTCCTACGTGAAAGGAAAGCCTGTGGAGAAGTCAGGAAGTAGGGAACCTTCTAGGTGGGCGAGGTTGGGACCAGTTTTAGAATAAGGCCCCCAGCAACTGGCACAGACTAGAATGGCAGGGTCAGGACTGCCAAGCCCTGTTGCTCTGGAAGGGCTTGGAGATGCGCCAAGAAGAAAAGAAGCTGTTTGTATGTATGTGTGTGGTGGTACTGGTGTGTGTGTGGGGGTGATTGGTGTGAGTGGTGTGGGACTGGGTATGTGTGTGCGCACGTGTGTGTGGTGGTACTGGTGTGTGTGTGCGGAGGTACTGGTATGTGCGTGTGTGTATGTGTATGTGTGTGTGGTGGAACTGGTGTGTGTGTTGTGTGTGTTGGTGTGTGCATGAGTGTGTGTAGTGGGACTGGTGTGCATATGTCTGTGTGTAGTAATATTTGTGTGTACAAGTAGGTATGTGTGTGCAGTGGTACTGGCTTAGGTGTGTGTGGTGGTACTGGTGTGTGTGATGTGAGTGTGTATGTGTGTGCCATGTGTGGTGACCATGTGTTGTGTGTGCATGTGTGGTGGAGTGTGTGTGGGGTATGTGTGATGGTTGTATATGTGTGTGGTGGTACTGGTGTGTGTGTGTGTGTGTGTGTGCGCGCGCGCGTGCCCAGCGTATGTGGATATCTTCAGAGAGAAGCGTATCTCTGAGCCTTACAGGACAGGAAGCTTACACAGTTTGGGGCAGCACAAAGGAGAAGGAAACACGTTCACGTCCGGAGCTCTCGGACAGGCCTGTGCAGTGACGCGCTGCGGTCTCGCCTCTCCCAGCATCAGGCTTAGAAACCTGTGGCTGGGGGCTTGGAACTGGGGCAGAGTATGAAGGGGGTGGTCAGGGAGGCCAGCTGCGCTCCCCAAGAAATGCCTAGAGGATGGAGGTCCAGGGAGAAGCCCAAGGCTGGGGTGTGGGCATGTCGATCTCAGCGCTTGAGTTTCAGCATGTTCTGTTCTGTCCTCGCCAGGAGAGACCCTGGGAGGGCCCCAAGGGGAGAGAGAATGGGGGGGGGCAGGAAGATCCGAGTGAGGAACCTCTAATTACAATAGGGGAGGCTTGGGGGGACCCCTCTGCCATGGAGTGGAGACTGTCCTCTACTGGACAGCAAAGGCAGGAAGCGCCTGGAGGATGGGGTGAGTAGGAACACACAGACAACGGGGCTGCTGGAGAGTTGGCCCGGGCTCTGTGGGGCATGGGGGTGGCACTCACCCATGGTGGCCGAGAAGATGACGATCCCCAGCACGTTCATGCCGTCGCTGGTGCCGGGCTCCGACCTGTAGACGACCTCGGGCGGTGGGGTGAGGTCCAGGGCGAAACTGTGCACCCGGGAGCTGTTCTCCTCCTGGAGTCCGTAGATGAGGGGCCTCCGGGAAGCCCCCTCCGACGGCACTTTGGGGGACTTGACAATGGCAGTGGTCTTGGTGCGGTACTGGAGGGTGACACCCCACGGGGAAGGAGTCAGGGCCAAGGGTGCGTTAACACCAACACAATCCAAGCCCGGGGAAGTGTTTGTCCCAGGAGCGCCAGGGCTGACCCAGTGCTGAGAGGCAGCTAGGACAGGCTCCTTATCAGTGCTCTGCCACGAAGAACATGGAGGGTCCTTTCTCCATCTCTACGCTCCCCAGCCATGGGCCACACTCCCCTGCCATCTTCTTCCTTCTCAGTGTCACACCTTCCGGCTGGCCATGTCCTCACTGACCTGAGAGGACCTGCATCTACCTGCTGTCCCTTCCTACCCCGCTACCCTGCCTAAACAGTCAACCTGCCTGGTGGACTCAGGGACTGGTGTCTGGCCAGCCCAGGGACCTGGCCTAGTTTCTGGTCAGAAATCCCACCTGCTCCAACTCCCACAGGAAGTGGGAGCTCTGAGTGGATCGAACGCCTTAAATATTCATCCATACCTCCAAGAGGGGACTTGAAAGGGTTCCCCTGATATCAGTCCCCACCCCAGACATAGTCTCAGCCTTCCACATCGCAAAACAAAATCTAGGACAGCGGCACTTACTCTGTAAGTCTTTGATGCCTGTCAAAGACCCCAGTGATGCCCACCAAGGCCTCCTCCATGGCTCTGGGGGGCTCCTTACCTGAAGCGGGGCCTGCTGGGCTCGTGGGAACCCTGACTTTCCTAGCCGTCCACGGAATCTCTGCTCCATCTGTCAAACTCGCCCACAGACCTCCAAGACTGGTCCCTTCTCCCCGCCCCCCTGCGTCATCCAGGGACCCCACTCACCTGCTTGAAAGTGGCCTCTACCAGGTTGGCTGGGAACATGTTCCTGGGGAGAGAGCCAGTAGGTGAAGAATGCCAGTGTCACAGCAAGGTCACAGCAGGGTCATGGCAGGGGTCCTCCCTCCTTAAGGGGTCGAGGCTATCTCCTGCCCCACTTCCCTCCCTCTGCAGACCTGCCCTCCCCACTCTCAGTCCTTAAAGCTCCAACACCAACGCTGGATTTTCCTGAAATAAGCTGTGTCCACTTGCAGCTCCTGGCCTGTGTCCCTGCAGCCGAGAATGACGGCCCTGTTTTGCTCAGACCCTTCTCCTGCAGGCGGCCATGGTGGCCCCTAGAAGGCAGGACTCAGGAGTTCGTGTTGTACCTGTGGCACTTAAGTGGGGTCCCTCTTTCCAGTCATACAGCTACAGGAAGAGGGGGCTTGTCCTCCCAGACAGAAGGGTGTCAGGGCCAGCATGGCCAGACACCGACTGCGCGACACCCAGGGGCAATCCCAGACCTCCCTGAGCATCACCGATGGCACCACTGGGGTGGCCTGGGTACCCCTGGGACAACAGGGCCGGAGCAGCACGGCACCCTCGGGTTCCTGCATCGAACCTCGGGCCAGATTGGTTGAGAACCTCCAAGATGGGCCCCCTGAGCACTACTTGGGAGCACCTCCTCCAAAAGAAAGAAAATCAATGTAACAGAAGTGACAGCCCCAAAACAACCAAGTGAAGCTGCACCTTCAGAGTCCAGCCAGCTGTGTCCAGGCCAGCCAGGACAGAAGGGCCTGTGGGAAGCGCCCTCCTGCTCCCAGAAAACATTAAAGTCACATCCTACATCGTGTTCTGAACGCAAATGAATTCTATATGGGGGGAAAGTGATTTAAAAGATGGAAGTACAAAAAGAAGAAAATGTAGGCTAATTTCTATTGTGAGGTTGGGATCACACCTTGTGTGCCCAGGAATTACTCCCAGCTCTGTGCTTAGGTCTCTGGGGTGCTCTGAGGACCGTCTGTGGTGTTGGTGGTTTGAACTGGGGTTAGCCACATGTAAGGACTGGACTGGACTGGGTTGGCACATCCCGGCCTAATCCACACACTGGGCGTACTGGTGCTGCCTCCTCCTTTCCACCCAGTTCTTCAAAGTCGCTTCTCTTCCAAGACTCAACCCTCACATCCATGCAGCTGTATATATGGAAGTGAGGGTGTCTGGCTCCTAAAGACACCCCAGCAGCCACACCCGGAGAGCTGAACTGGTCATTTTTCTCACTGCTGCTGAATACCAGGTCCGTGGTGGCAGGAGGAAGAGGCTAGAGTGAGTGAACAAGGCAGGAAGCTGAAAGGATGGCCTTGGCTCCCCACGGCTTCCAGTGCTGAAACGAGGGCCCAGGCAGCAGGGCTGGAAACCGAGGTCATCAAGACTCCAAAGAGGTGTTGGCTTCTCAGTAGGTTACAAGATTCCTGAGGCTGGAAGAGAAACTCCCTGCATGGACTCTGACGTGGAGCAGACCCACAGCACGGAAACCCACTGAGCTCTGGGGCTCCGCATCCCTGCTGCTCCCAGCCTCAGCCCTGGGTGCGAGGGGCCAGAACGGGGGCTGTCGGCACTGCCGACTGTTACATGGTTCTGAAATCTCTCCTCACCTGGGGACAGCGCCAAGAGGTTTGGCGAATGGCTTATACGGTGGATTCCTAGAGGGAACCCAGAGGGAAGGCTGCATTAGTTAGCATGAGAAGAAACGCTGGATATTCAAAACGCGGTGGTGGGGGTGGGGACCACAGAACTCACAGCCAGTGCTGACTGGCAGACTGACTGATGCTTGGAAGCTGGAACGCCTGTGGCAGGGACGGCTCCCGGCTGCCCCAGCTCCTGCAGGAGCTGCTGGGTCCTGGGAAACCCTGTGCAGACGCGCACTCAGAGGGGCCCTTCCACACTCTTCCTCAGCTGTCTTCCGTCTTTCCTGTCTCTTCGTGGACACTTGTTGACAGGGCTGCGGTCATGGGGGTCACACACTCGCCGGGCTGTGGTGCTCACACACTCAGTGCTCGCTGAGCTTTACACCTCTTGCTTATGTTTTATCTGGGGGAGGCACACCTGTCAGTGCTCAGGGCGACTCCTGGTTGGCACTCAGGCCAGCTTCAAGCCCAGGTCTCCTGCCAGTGCCACCTGCATGCCAGCACTGTGTGCCTTCCTCTCTGGCCTGACTTTCTACTCCTCCCGCTGCGACGATCTCTCTCTCTCTCTCTCTCTCTCTCTCTCTCTCTCTCTCTCTCTCTCTCACACACACACACACACACACAGACTCACATACACATACATATACTCACTCACACACACACTCACACATTCACACACACTCACTCTCTCACACACACACACACAGACTCACATACACATACATATACTCACACACACACTCACACATTCACACACACTCACTCTCACACACACATACTCACACAGACACACACACATACACACACACTCACACACACACTCACACATTCACACACACTCACTCTCACACACACATACACACAGACACACTCGCACACACACTGGCATACACTTGCACACACACACATGCACACATACACACACACACACACACACACACACACTGGCCAGGCCGGTGCTTCCTGCCTGTGGTGCTCGTGGGTCTTCTCAGTTGTGGTGAGTGGGGGCCCATTGATTTTCCCATGGTGCTTACATGCCTCTGGCTGTGGTGCTGCCCTGGTGCCTTGGGGAGTCCTTGGGGAGGCTTGGTGTGGGGAGACAGACTTTGCCCCCGAAGTGGGTCATGGGCTCAGCAGCCCCCACCTTCCCGTTTCACTTGTCACACCCGACCCTTCCCCTGTCCCCCCACCAAGCTCCCCCACAGTACTGCCCCTCGGGAGATGCCTGCTGGGGGCAGAGGCAGGATAAGGGGCCCCGGGAGCCCCCTACCCACCATGCCCACCTAGCCACTAGATCTAGAAGCGGACGCAGAGCGGGGCGGGCTGGCAGCCCGTCCCCTTGCTCTTCCATGGCGTCTTGGCCAGAGCAGGTGTTTATCAAAGCGGGTGACCACACCCCCACCAGGGTTTCTTCCGATGTCCAGTCACACCCCGTGGTCCCAGTGGCTTCTGTCTCCCAGACACAGCAGCATCTCCTGTTTGCCCGTGAGGTGGGCCTCAGCTTTGCACCCGCCACCTCCTCTCCCAGAACCCACCGGGGATGCTCCTGCTGGCGCTGCTCCCAGGGGCACAGGCTAGAGAGGACCCGGGGAGTGGACACGACTCCCGCAGGGGGCAGGGCTGAGACCTGCCAGCACGAGGAGGGGCGTCTCCCCAGGGGCACACGATCTCTGCAGCACCACTCCCACCAGACTCGGGCTGACCACCCGCCTTGCAGAACAACTTTCCTCAGGGTTGAGAACAAGGGAAGGGCAGGGAGGGGCTTGGGTGTGTGTGTGTGGCGGGGGAGGGGGGGACCTCAAACCAGAAGCATCTATTCCGCCACGTGGAAGCAACAAGAAGCTTCTGGAACATCTGACTCTGCCCCGACTTGCGTCCTGTCCTGTGCTGTCAGTGCTGAGCTCTGCGTGGCAGCGGGGGAGGGGCGGCTCCCCGAGTGCCGAAAGCCCTTTCACCGCAGGGAAAAGGCTGTTTCCAATCAGAGTCCAAGAAACGATGAATCATAATCACGAACCTTAGAAGTGAAAGGTCTGAGACTCGCTGCTTCCAGGTCCCCAGGTCCGGGCCTCTCTCTGCTCTCGATCACCCCCACAGGCCCCGCCGGGCTACGGTCCTGCTCGCTCCTGTGTCTTCAGATCTAATGCCTCGCCCCCCGCCCCCCCAGCCCCCTGCGCCTCCACTTGCTCATTTCCCACGAGTCAGACCCACTGCTCAGTCTGCCGTGTTTCCCCCACATCCCCCCTGCTCCAGCACCGCTTCTGGGTGTGGTGGCCACGCCACCGTCCACTGCAGCCAACACCTGGGCACAGCTGTTGCTCACCAGGAGTGGTCCCGTCCCAGTGTCCTTCACTGCAGAGCCAGCTTAGCCCAACCCCCCCCCCCCCCACTGTGCTCTGTGCTGCCCTCGCCTGCCCCCCACCACCCCCCGTCTATGCTGTGCCTAGTGATTCAGGGAGATCTCTCTCCCTCCTCCAGGGCTCGAGTCGGGTTTGAGTTTCCGGGAGGCAGAAGGGGACACGCAGCAGATGGGGAGTGGGCCACGGGCCTGTGGGGTGGGGCTGTGGCCTCTGGGGGCCAGCTGCGTCTGTGCCATGCATGCCGAGTAGGGGATCAAGGAGGGCCCTTCCAGGCAGAAGGCACAGCTCTGGGCCCCCTAAAGTCACCTCATCCCTTAGAGCCTCCTGGCTCCTGGGGTGGTACTGTGAGAAGCACGGGGCTGAAGAGCAGAGGGCAGCTGTGGGTGCCCACAGGCCCCCATCCTTGCCACCAACCACCAAGCACACAGCTTGAGCCCACCACCACCACCACCGAGAGTCCCGGGGCGGTGCAGGCTGAGCCAGTGCCGCCGAGGTGGGCGTGTGGTGAGGCTTACCGGACGAGGTCCAGGAGGGCGTCGGCGGAGCTCAGGACAGGCTTGCCACTGTGTTCCGTGGCCTCCTTCTGGGCCGCGCCCCCGGGGTGGATGACAGAGACCATGACGATGCCCACGATGACGGCCATGAAGGTGGTCCACAGGTAGTAGGCCACGGTGAGGAGGCCCAGGCGGCTGGAGGTCTTAGCGTCCAGGGAGGCGAGACCAGACATCAGGCTGAGAGATTGGTGTGGGTCAGGTTCCGTGCTGGGGGTCTAGGCCTCAGGCAGACCTCCTATCAGGCCTGACCAGCTTTCCCAGAACTCCCCTGGGGGGCTCCAGGGTATGGGTTATCACAGGACACCCTCTTCCCCCACCAGCATCCCTGTATTCCTGCTCCTTCCCTCCCCTCGGCTCTGCCCTTCCCGGATGCAGTCACCAGCTCCATCTTCAGACCTCTGGGCCTTTGCATGTGCTGCTTCCCCTGGCATCCTCTTCTCAGTCACCGTCTTGCCTACCACACACTCGTGGGGGAAAGCCACACTCACTGTCATCTCTTTGGGGAGCACTGTTTCAAATGAGCTACCTCTCCCTCTGAGTCAGGCCCTCATGCTGGGCCTCGCAGATTAGCCGGACTCCTTGCCAAAGCCTGGTAGCAGCCTGCCTTCCAGCCTGTCTCTCACCAGACTGGGGACACGGAGATGGACATACCTGGCTCCCTGCGGGGCCCAGCTCAGCGGCCACCATGCAGGTGATGGCAGAGGCTGCCAGAGGCAGGGCCGCGGGGATGGGGGGGAGGGAGGGAGGGCAGGCGGGCACTGGACTAGGCACCAGAGACCTCGGGCGTAGTCCCGGCCCTGCCCACACAGCCCATCCCTGGCTTCAGGCCTCAGATTCCGCTTGCCCCTGAGAGATGCTACCAGCTGAATTCTGGGTCGCTGAGTGTCTGGACCCAGACTGCCCTTATGAGAAGTGCATGAGGGGTTCGTGGGCTTCTCCCCTCTAGGCTTGCCGCCTTGCAGCCCCCCAGAGCCAGCCAGCTCCATGGGTGGGTGGGGGCACGGTTAGTGAAGGAGATGCCGTGTTGTGCTTTGCTGATAAGAGGGGCTTCCCCCAAAGCCCTTCATTTCTCTTCATGAACCGTTTCGTTTCAGTAGACAGGAGCAGACGTTGCCTCCCAGTCCCGTTCACATGGACACGGCTGGCGGGACACATCAGGCTGAGCACAGGAGCCCGCCCCACTCCTGCTGGCCACAGCCTCTGCTGAGACGCAGTGTCAAGGTCCCCTCCTCCTGGAAGCCTTCCTTGACCACCACCCTGGATTCCTCAGCCACGTCTCAGGAGCCTGCAGGCCTGAGCCCGGCCTGACTTCAGTGCGGGGTCCACACTGCCATGCGGGCGGGAGGAAGGGCTGAGCCAGCACTGATCATCTCTGCACCTTCTCTGCCAGGACTCGACCCATTCTCAGTGGCTGGGGGTGGGAAGAGGGCGCCAGTGTACATCCTGGAGGGGTAACGGGCCTGTGTGGCCAGGGCAAAATGGGCTGCCCTGCGTTCACTGTCCCTGAGGGGGATTATCCGCAGTGGGCAGCCCAGGCTGCACAATCCCCCAACCCACCCAGAACTGCCAGGCAAGTCCTGCGAGGAGGGGCTGCTGGCGGCCATGGCCCCCACCCCAAGCTATCTCCTGCCCTTCACAGGTTTCCTCAGACCCTCTGGGCCCTGCCCTGTGTCTGCAGACAGAAAACCTCACCACGCTTCTGGTTTGGCGAGGGTGCGGGGAAGAACGTGGATGCTCAGGACACAGATGGACTCAAGGAACCAGTGGATGAAGGGGATGCCTCAGTCCCTGCCGGAAGGGGTCAAGAAATGCTCTCTTTCCTCAGGGGAGTGAGGGGTCACTTCTAGCCTGGAGAGTCAGGGAGGGCTTCCTGGAGGAGAGGGCATTTGAGTTGGTTCTGGGAAGATGAAAAGGATTAGGAGGTGGGTGGATGTGCAGTTGGCAATGGAGGTCTGGGGGAAGGCGCGGGGGGGGACTAGGGATGGGAAGGGTGGGGAGTGAGGCCATTTAACCTGGCTGGGTGCCCCAGAGAGACTCCGGGAGCTCCAAAGCCTGGGACCCCCTCCCCAGCCCTCTGGCCAGCAGCCAGGTTGAACAACTGTAAAGCCTGAGACCATGATGGCTGGGGGAGTCCCTGGGCTTGGGGGGGCAGAGAGCCCCGGTTCAAGTGCTCCACTGCAGAGCGGGGGAGCAGCACCAGCTCTTACCAAGCGGCTCATCCCCCAGCACATGTTGGAAGGATGAGTGTGCTCTCTACGACCAGGGCCCCCCACCCAGGGCACCCCGGGGCCAGTCTCCTGGGCCAGCTGTGAGGCTCTCGCTAGCTCTAGGGGGACAGCAGGCTGTCAGCGCCAGAGCTGTCGGGGACAGGGAGCCTCTGCGGTGGCTCCGGGCCCACACTCTTGTGTGAGTGGAGGAAGACAGGAGCGGGTCTCGGGGGGCGTCTCCAGCCTCTCCTCGCCTCCGGCCCTTTTCATCAATGGCTTGGCCGGGCCCTGGCGAACATGTGGATCTGATTTGTGGAGGACCGGAAGCTGCAACAGCTGATGTGCAGGATGAGGGCGTCGGGACAAAGCGGAACCCAAGCGGCTGGGTGCATGGGCCAGCTCTGACACGAGTCCCGCGGGGACACGTGTGAGGAAAGTGGCTCGGGCGGCAGCTCCCTGGGTGCAGCAGCTGTACGTGGGGCTGGGACTTGGGGGTTTGGTCCCTGTCAGTTGCTGCATCATCTGGGGCCAGGAGACCCCGGGGCATTCATGGAGCCGGTGCTGACCTTGCCACCTACGGGGACGAACCATCGGGGAGGGAGGAGAGTTGCCTGTCCAGGGCGAGGTGGAGGGCTGGGCACCGTGGGTGCAGATGGAGGAAACCAAAGGAGCAGAGCGCAGTTCCGGACCTGCAACTTTTAGTTGCCAGCTGCCCTGCCCCACAGTGCTCAGTACTTTTGGACCCTGGAGGGTGCACGCACCAGGCAAGGAGCAGCAGTGAGTGGAATTTGAATCCTGGACCCTCGCCTGACAGCACTCACCGTCGCCACAGGCTGGCACAAGGAGGGCCGGGGAGGTGGCGGGCTGGCCTGGAGGCCTGTGGGGGCTGTACAGCCCTGCCAAGCATCCCGCCTGCCGCTGATGGCCACTGCTGCATCAGTGCCGCTGAACTGTCCCCAGACGGCCCGGCCACACCCCTGTCCCCAAGCCAACTCCACTCAGACCGAGGCAGATGCCAGATCCTGGGATAGCCGTTGGTGCCCACACCCCTCTCCAGTGGGCAGACGTCCTTCACAGCTTGAGGGCCCCTCGCAGGCGGAAGACCCAGCTCTCCGCAGGGCGAGCCACGCTTATCAGGAAGCCCTGAAGGGCTCAGAAAGAATCCATCCCCACAGAAATACTCCCCAGAACCAGCCCCGCCCTCCTGCCATACTGACCATCACGTGGATCAGCTTAGGGAGCAGAGGAGGCCGCTGCCCAGGCCCCTGAACTCTGGGCCAGTGCTCCATGAGAATGGACATCGGCCAGCTTACAATGATTAGAAGCCAGTGCTAGGGGTGGTCACAGACCTCTGGTTCCTGATGCCCCCTCCTTCCTAAGCACTTCCTGCTAGGCACGTGTGCCCCCCAGGGCAGGGAGAGCCCAGCCCTCACCCCCACCCATGCTTAACCTACCTGCTGGGCCTCGAGCTTCCTTTCCCTTCCCACCAGGTGGGTGCCATCGGGGGTGCAGACCCTGAGAGGGTTGCAGGCTGGAGCAGTGCCCCCCCGAAAGCCCGTCACCTGCCCACGGGTCCCTGGTGCATATGAACACAGCCCCCCTCTGCCCATTCAGTCGCCTGGTCCCCAAGCCTGTACCTGCCAGATATGGCCCCCACAGGCAGAAGGTGACCCCGCCAGCACAATGCTTCTCAGTGGCCACGGAAACTTCCAACTCCTTGCCATCCCCAGACTCAGTTACACCCACAACCCACCCCACAGGGAACCCTGGCTGAGGGTGCTATGGGGTTCCAAGAACATGGAGATAGGCTTGTGGAGCCCAAGGAGCTCTCCAAGTGGGCCTCTGCAGCTCGACCCCACAAAACCCTGAGGGAGAGAGCATCCCGGGCAGGCTTCCTGGAGGAGGTGCCTTTTCAAGGGGTCCCAGACAGGAGTCTCTCACGAGGATGGAGCTGGGGAGATGCTCAGTCACTAGGCTGAGGGTGTGACCCCACCCGCAGTCCACACACAGCTGGGCCACATTTCCCCTCTGGATGAGTAAGGCGCTCAGCTGGCCGGGCACAAGGGCCAAAGGCAGGTCCCCAGGCTCCCATCAAAAGCAGTGCTCAGAATAGGGCCGGCAGCCGAGAGGAGAGAGCAAGACCTCTCCAACGCCCCGTCAGCCGCCCCCAGCACCCCGGCTCTCCAGCCAGACTCAGATGGCTGTTTGGCCCAGGACCAGTTCCAGTAAGTCCAAACGTGGGTGTTGGGGAGATTTCTGCCAAATGAGAGTTCCTCAGGAAGGGGGAGAAAGGGGTGCGAGGTTTCTCTGGCCAAATACGATTTCCCGATTCTCAGAAAAATCAGCTTAGGATTCTTAGAAGAAAAGGGAAAGGGAAACAATGCAGACGCTGGACCACGCGCGTCAGGAAAGACGCACTCACACACAAACCCACGCCTGCACTTGGATTTCTCTGCCGTGATGTGGCACTTCCGAGACGCTGTCCTGGCCAGCCTGGAGAATCACAAACACGTGGCTGAGTGACGCTTGTTGGAGAAGCTGAAGCAAGAGGGGAGAGGAGGGTTTGGCAGGGAGCAAGTGGGGATTCGGAGGCACAGTCTGGGCCGGGAGGCTGGTCTGACCGCCCCTGGTTCCTTGTGTGGTTCTTGTCTGGGAATGTGGGAGAACAAGGCCCGTTTGCTCGCTGGCCTGGCATGAGCGCAGCCTCCAGCCTCCGCGGGGCTGGTGCTCACCACACGCACAGTTGCCAGACGGGGAAGAAGCTGCCGCACTTGTCGGAGATATCTGTATCTGTGTCCATGGGCAAAAGCAGCAAGTCTCTGGCAGAGACTTCAAGTGGCTGAGGGCCAGAGCGCTGGCACAGCAGGGAGGGCGCTTGCCCTGCAATGGCCAACCTGGGCTAGATCCCCGGCACCCCATCTGGTTCCTTGAGCACCACCGGGAGTAACCCCTGAGTGCAGAGCCAGGAGTGACCTCTGAGCATCACTGGGTGTGGCCCAAAAACAAACAGAAAAAGATTTCAAGTTGCCTGTGAGAAGGCACACGCTGTCCAGGGAAGGGAGAGCCCCCACACCACCCAGACCCTGGGGGTCTCAGGTCATGGAAACGGGCTTTGTAAGAGGCTCAGGGGACCTCAGACAGAACCCAGACAGAGCTCCCCAACCCTTGTTTCTTTCTTGAAGGTCATGTCAGGCTACCCATGCCCGCTGGCACCAAGGTCCAACAGGAGGGAAAAGGGACTCAGGGTTCAACTCCATGGGGCTAGCTCAGGGCACAACTGAAGCTGCTTTGGGGCATGATGGTAAAGCACTTGGTGCCACCTGGAAGCCTGAGCTGGTAGACGGACCCTGGGCAGATCAGGCAGGACCTATGTTCCACAGCGACACCCGGTGGAAGGAGGTAGAGCCACAGGGTTAATGCACATCTGATGCCACCCCACCCCTCATGCCACCTCCCCCAAATTTATCTAGCTGGCCAGAAGCTTCCACGGAATGAAATCAACTGCCTTTAGCCAGTGTGAGGCAAGTCTCAAAAGGAAGACGCCAGGTTTTCTGTTTGTCCGGACAAGTAAGACAGTAAGACAAAGGACTCAGCAAGGCAGCACATAAAGCAACACCCAAATAAATATGCCCCCGAGGATCCCCGAAGTCAGGCATAAGGTTCGGGAGGTAGAGTTTCGGGTGATCACGTTCATTCCAGATAGGTTCCTCCTAGTTTGCGAAAGAGCTGCTCTCTCTTTAGGTGAACAGAGTCTAGAGAGCACGATCTGAAGACAAGCCGCACAAAAGCCATCCTCCCTTCCCCTCGGAGCTGCAGTAGCTGGTCTCGGCCCAGGAGAGGCTAACTCAGGGGTACAGAGAGAGGGAGCCTCCTGCTTCGTCGCTTTGTCATACTCAGAGTAGATGCGATCAAAGGCTCTGTAGGTAAATCCATCTTGATGGGGCTCTACGAAAGTCGTACAATTAAATAGTTCAATTGCCTGCCAGCAACTACATTTAACCAGTGGGTCCCTAAATGGTATGTACATCTATAAGGAGAAACGCTCTGTCACTCTGTGCCTGTCACGACCCCTGCCCACCCATGCCCCCTGTGCCTGCCTTTACTGCGGTGAACAGTGGCATTAGGTTAACGTGGTGGACTCTCACAGTCTAACGTCCATCCCCTGGGCCTGGAGAATTAGCCACTAAGAAAAGCAGGCTCTCTCCCACTGAACCACATCCCTGGGGCCTGGGGAGCACTGAAGTCCCATTGGGTTCTGGTTTGGTAAGACCAGGGGGATGCCTGGATTCTCAATTTCCTCAAGCAGCTTTGGTGATTTGCCCTATGGGAGTGACTCCCCCCCCCCCCCACCCACCCACCACAGGCATGGCTCTCCTGGAGAACAGAGCAAACCTTGGTCTTCCCAGGGACAAGAGCTCAGAGATCTGGGGGAGTGGATGGATGGAGAGAGGATGGATGGATGTATGGATGGATGGATGGATGGATGGATGGATGGATGGGTCTATGGTGGGTGGATGGGTGGATAGATGGGTGGATGGGTGGATGGGGGAGAAGGGTGGTAGATGTATGAATGAGTGGGTTGATGGATGATGGATCGGAGGGTTGGTAGATTATAGACCAATATGCATATAAAGGAAGGAGCATTGGGGATGGAAGATTTGGGACTGAGAAATGTGCATTCCCCCCTCCCACTATGATGGTGTGACTCTCCACAGTAGGAAAATTTGAAGCTGCTTCCATTTCTCAGTGACATGGTTGCTCTGTGCTAGCCCAAACAGTACAATAAACAAACGAAACGAAACACACACTGGCTTCTCTCAAGTTAATACCACATTCCATTCCCCGCCAAGAAGACGCACCACAGCTGGTGGAGGGCCAGGAGATGCAGTGGCCCTTCTCACAGGGCTCTGGGGGCTGCAGAGTGGCGCCCTACATGACCACGTGAGCATTAGTGGGGGCAGCAGTGCTAGGACCCGGGCCTCGGGCCATTGACCTGGATTTGGTTTACATTAAATGGACAAGGTCAGGGTGGGCCGGTCTAATTCCAGGTTCACACGCGAAGCTTTCTGTCTTTGAGGTGTTTCCACTTAGCAGGCAGGAGTAAAGGAGGGCAGAGCTGCCCGGCAGGAGTCCTGGTTTCCCCCTTCCGTGTGCTGCCTCAGCCGACACATCACTGGCTTGGTCTCCCCCACAGCCCGGAGCCCCTTGCTAAGGGGCCCTTGGGCAGAGCCTCATTCATCTTCTTCTCAGATAAGGCATCTCAGTGCGTGAGCCACAGGCCAGGGAGAAGGGCTGAGTCTGTGCCAGGCGTGTGGCCGGGTCGGCCGGGGACCGCCTGCCTTTCCCGAGTTTAGGTCCAGGGAGAATATGTAAGCAGCACCCTGAGTGCAAAACATAACAATAAATGGGTGCTGTGCAGGGAAAGAGGCACCTATGAGGACAGCAAGTGGGCTGGGGGCTAGGGGGGGCTTCCTAAAGAATGACCTGGAAGCCAGGATTGAAAGGAGAGGGGCAGGAGAGGCAGAGCTGGTGAGCTGTGTTCGGGAGGCTGGGGTGGAGAGTGGGGCATGGGACAGGCTCAGGAGATGAGTTGACTCTACTTGGACGGGTCTGAGGTCCGTGAATGGCCCAGTCCAATCTCCCACAGCTCCCACGCTGGCCACTGGGCAGAGAGCAGAGGGGAGGGGAGCAAAGGCAGAGAGCGAGATGGGTTGACTGATCGGGGCACGGGTGCTGGGGAGGATGCTGGTTCTTGTTAGGGCCTGGAACCACATGGAACTGCTGATGGACCGGCAGGAGGGAGGAAGTAGGGAGATGTAAGCAACTAAGTAGGAGCTGGGTGTGCCAATGAGCGGGAAACCGAGGAACCAGTTGGCTGGGTGAGATCTCAGGCTGGCCGAGCTGCCCTTGGAAGCTTAGGAATGGTCCATGGCAGATACAGGTTGAGAGCAGGAGGCTCAGAGGCAGGCTGGAGGGGCGTGGAGGGCCATATCTGGGCATGCTAGGCTTTGGGGGGCAGCAAAGCCAAGAGGTTGGATGAGAAAGGGCCCAAACCACGGTCAGAGGGGGAAGGAGCGGGGGAGAAGCAGGGATGGAGGCAGAGGGGTGCAGAAGCAGGAGCCAGGAGGCCAGAGACTGTCCAGAGGGAAGAGTGATCAGGGGCCAGGGCAGGTCCGGGGAAGGTGATCGAGGGGCCAGGGCAGGGCCGGGGGGAGGTGACCGAGCCAATGAGCTGCCATAGAGAGCTGCGCAGGACAAGAACCAAGAGCATCCCCTGCATTCACAACATGGGCTGGGGTCAAGGGCCAAAGAGTTACTGCTCAGGAAAGGCTCAAGGGGGCCTCGAAGAGGAGACAACAACCAGTTGGGACCGAGGATCAAGAAAGTTCTGGAAGGAGGTGATCTGTCAGAGCCTTGAAGGCCAAGCTGGGAGGTCCAAATGCTGCCCGTGGGAGCTGAGCCTGAGACTAGGCAGCCCTGGCCACAGCGGGAGAACCGAGCATGGGTCTGGGGGACATAGTACTGGCCTTGCCCCACTCCTCGGCAGCAGGGGCCCAGGAGGTGGTACCCTGCCCCAGGGGCAGCCCAGACCCACCCCCAGGCCCGGAGCCTGCAGAGAAGGCCTAGAGTTGAGTCCTGGCACCCACGGCCTCAGAGCAAAGCACAGTGAGGCCTGGCCGGGAGCAGCTCCGAGTGAGGCAGCGCTGCCTTCCTGGGCCCTCACCCCGGCCCCACCCAGAGGCAAAAAGGCCCGATTCCTCCAACGTCCTCTCCCAATGCCCCCTTAGGCCCTGTGGCCCAAGTCCCTGAGTGCCAAGCCCCTGCACGCTAATCCCCTCACACAGTTCTCTCAACGCTGGGGTGGGTGCTGTCACTCAGAGGACCTCAAAACTATCACTTCACACAGGTCCCCAAAGCCGTCTTCTCCCCAGACCTTGCTGCCTTTACCCACCAAAGTCCCTTCTCTAGGAAGCAGCCCCCCAACTCTGGGGCCTGATCTCCTGTGGAGTCGAGCCACATGTGATGATCCAAGTCTCTTATTGAGACCATGAGTAGGATTAGGACATCTGGGGCTGCAGTTCACTGCCCAGGGAGACCCCGCAACGACTCCTGCAGCTGCCGCTCAGCACCCCCCTCCCATAACAGGAGCACGCCCAGAGGTCCCAGCCCGCCCCCAGCCTCACCTTGAGACCACCAGAGGCAGGATGAGCATCTTCAACATCCTCATCAGGAGCTCGCCTGGGAACTGGAAGTAGCTGATCTCCTGCAAACACAGCGAGAGGTGCGGTTACAGTGAGTGCGGTCAGCTTCCCGGCATCCCGTCACCCACACTCTTGGGCGGCCCAGAGGCACAGCGCCTGGCCGAGCAAGCCCTGGCTGGGGAGGCCCAGTCCTGCCCTCCCCGCCTCCCCTCCGCCTTGAGCAATATCAGACGGACTCTCGGCAGCACTGAAGCGTCTCTGGAGGATGGTCAGTGGCAGGAGGGCAGGGGTCACACTCAACCCTCCGAGCATCCCATTGGGTACCCCAAAACGAACAAGGCTGGCTTCCTAACTTGCGCGGACAAGCGCCCGCTCTCGGTTATGAAGAGACTGACCCATAAACAGGCCGGGGCAAGCTTCTACGTCCGCTTCTGTATTGGGGTCGATTTCTGGGGGCTCTCTTCCCTTCCAAACCTCCCCAGGGAGGGTCGTTCACATTCCCTGGGGGTCTTGCTTTTTATTTTTGAGGGGTGAGGATGGAGCACACTCTTCCTAGCTCTGTGCTCAGAGATCACTCCTGGAGGTGATGGGAAGGACCCTATATGCTGCTCAAATGAGCCAGGGTGGACAATTCTACCGCCTGTCTATTTCCGACCCCAGGGTCTCACTCTTGAATACTGGGGAGAGAGACTCAGAGTGGCTCGGTGAAAATGAGCCCTTATTGGGCAGAGTTCTCTGGTCTGGGGTCCTCATAGGCTGTCGGCTCAGCCTATCATGGGGTTGGTGGGATAAGCGTGGCAAATTCTTGTCCAATCAGCTGTGGCCAGAGTGCTGGGTCACATGACTGGAACCTGCCTGCTAACCCCATACAGCGAAGCCTCAAAGTCGGTTAAAATTGGATTTCTGCACACATCTCCCATCCCGACTGATTCCTCAAGCCATTATTTTCTTAGTGCAGAAAATAGATAAAGGACCAAACACGATAACTTCTCAGGATCTGTATTGCAAACATAATGCCCAAAAGTAGAGAAAGATTATGGGGAATTATGTCTGCCATGGAGGCAGGGGGAGGGTGGGAAAAGGGGGGTAGGGGGTTATCCCGGGGATATTGGTGGTGGGGAATGTGCACTGGTGGAGGGGCGGGTGTTTGATCACTGTGTGATTGTAACCCAAACATGAAAGCTTGTAACTATCTCACAGTGATTCAATAAAATTAAAAAATAATAATAATTAAAAAAAATTGAATTTCACATAAAAAGCAATTATTTAAAAATTTTTGGAATTCAAATTTAACCGAATTTGCTGTTTTAAAATGTGTAAATGAGGGGCTGGAGCAATAGCACAGCGGGTAGGGCGTTGGCCTTGCACGCGGCCAACCCAGGTTCGATTCCCAGCATCCCATATGGTCCCCTGAGCACTGCCAGGGGTAATTCCTGAGCGCAGAGCCAGGAGTAACCCCTGTGCATCGCTGGGTGTGACCCAAGAAGCAGAAAAAAAAAAAAACCAAAATGTGTAAATGAAATGTCATTAAATGTTGCTATTTGTGGCAAGCCTAGCCTGAGGCCCCTCTGCACCGCTGGTTAGACTGCGGGTGAGGGCAGCGTGGGGACTTGCACACAGCGTCCAACTTCAGCTTTTCTATTTGCAACTTTTTTTTTTCAAGCCAAAGCCAAGCATAACACTTGGTTAATGGTTTCATGCTTTTCAAAGCACCCAGATCATAGAATTTTGGTGCTAAGAATGTTTTAAAGAAGCGTCCAGCTGACTCATTTTATAGATGGGGGAGCAGAGCCAGTAGAAGGAGGAGATTTGATCACAGAGGGAGTCACAACCGCGCTGGACTGGAAACAGGCCTCCCGCGGGGTCTCTTCAGTGCTCCAGAAGCGCTGTTTTGAAAGATGACTTACCATGTCTGTGTCTTAATTCATTGTCATTCATGTTATGTTCCTTCAATAGCCCTCTAGGGAGAAATAGGCTGCTCCTTCCCTTCCCACCTCTACCATTCTCAGCTTCCTAGAACAATTAGCCTCAACTTCTCCACCTGCTTTTCTTAGCATAGGATTAATTTTTTTTTTTTTTTGCTTTTTGGGTCACACCCGGCGATGCACAGGGGTTACTCCTGGCTCTGCACTCAGGAGTCACTCCTGGCGGTGCTCAGGGGACCATATGGGATGCTGGGAATCGAACCTGGGTTGGCCGTGTGCAAGGCAAACGCCCTACCCGCTGTGCTATCGCTCCAGCCCTATATCTTTAATGTTTAAAAATTAATCCTGGGGCTGGAACGATAGCACAGCGGGTAGGGCGTTTGCCTAGCACACTGCCAACCCGGGTTTGATTTCCAGCATCCCATCTGGTCCCCTGAGCACCAGGAGTAACCGCCAGGAGTAACTCTTGAGTGCAGAGCCAGGTGTAACTCCTGTGCATCGCCGGGTGTGACCCAAAAAGCAAAAAAAAAAAAAAAAAGAAATTAAAGATATAATTATAATCCGGGTTGGAGCTATAGCACAACAGGTAGGACATTTGCCTTGCAAGCATCCAACATGGCCGACCCAAGTTCGATTCCTCTGCCCCTCTCGAAGAGCACAGAAAGCTACTGGCAAAGCCTGGCAAGCTACCTGTGACGTATTCGATATGCCAGACACAGTAACAACAAGTCTCACAATTTGTTGTGAGATGTTACTGGTGCCCGCTCGAGCAAATCAATGAACATCGGGAGGACAGTGCTACAACTACAGTCAAATTTCTCAATTTATCTTTCTGAGTTTAACTTTCTTGCCACAATACATGAGGGCTTAGTTTCTATCTTTTTCCTTTTCACCATTATACTGCAGCACTGCACTGTCCTCTCGTTCATCGATTTGCTCGAGCGGGCCCAGTAACGTCTCCATTGTGAGACTTATTGTTACTGTGATTGGCATATCGGATATGCCACGAGGAGCTTGCCAGGCTTTGCCCTGCGGATGAAGTACTCTCTGTAGCTTGCCGGGCTCTCCGAGAGGGCGAAGGATTGAACCCGGGTCTGCCGGATCCGTCGCTTGCAAGGCAAACACCCTACCACTGTGCTTTCGCTCCACATGTATCACCATTATACTAGTTTTCGTTAGTCGTCAAGTTTTACACTATTTTGTAGATGCTTGCTTTGCACATGCAGCGTTGGTTCTATCCTCTGGCACCACATATGGTTCCCCTCCCTCCCCAGCACTGCCAGGAGCAATCCCTGAGCACAGAGTCATAAGTAAGACCTGAACACTGCCAGTATGGCCCAATCCAGCCCCTATTCTAAAAAAAATCTCTTCCACATTTCAAGACTTATCCCTTTTGTGTACTCTGTGTGTTCCAGTGTTACTTGAGAATATTGGACACCTCGCTTCCTATTCTTTTTTGTTTTATACAGTTGCCTCCTTAGTGCACTAGGCAAGTGCCAGTTTTATAATCTTTTTGTTTTTTGAGGGCTGGAGCGAAAGCACAGGGGTAGGGCGTTTGCCTTGCTCGCAGCTGGCCCGGCTGAGCCGGGTTCGATTCCTCCGCCCCTTTCGGAGATCCCGACAAGCTACCAAGAGCATCTCGCCCGCATGGCAAAACCTGGCAAGCTACCCATGATGTATCTGATATGCCAAACACAGTAACAACAAGTCTCACAATGGAGACATTACTGGGGCCGCTTGAGAACTTGATGAACAACGGGAGGGCAGTGCTATAGTGCTACAGTGCTTTGTTTTTTAATAGGAACCATGCCCAGCAGTGCTGGGGGCAAGGTATTCCTCCTGCTGGAGATCAAAGTTAGGAGCTTGCACATGCGAGGCATATAATGCATTACAGCACTATCTTTCAGGCCCCTCTTTCTGCCTACTCCTTACATGAAATCTGTTTCATATCCCCAGAACCACTGAAAGATCAGATACCTTTTGTTTCTAAGAGACTTTTTTTGTTATTGTTCGTTTGGGGGCCATACCTGCAAGTACTCAGGTCTTACTCTTGGCTTTGTGCTCAGGGGTCACTCCTGGAAGTGCTAGGGAGACCACATATGATGCAAGGTGTTGCATATGATGCAAAGCTCCAGCAAGGGCTGGAGCGATGGCACAGAGGTAGGGTGTTCGCCTTACAAGCGGCCAACATGGCCAACCCGAGTTCGATTCCTCCGCCCCTCTCGGAGAGCCCAGCAAGCTACCGAGAGTATTCGATATGCCAGACACAGTAACAACAAAGTCTCCAATGGAGACCTTACTGGGCCCGCTCGAGCAAATCGACGATCAACGGGAGGGCCTTTACCTTTACCTTTACCTTTTTTTAATTGAATCACCATGAGATACAGTCACAAAACTTTCATGTTTGAGTTTCGGTCATACAATGATCAAACACCCATCCCTCCACCACTGCACATTCTCCACTATCAATGTCCCCAGTATTTCCCCCCATCCAACCCTCCCCCTGCCTCTGTGGCAGACTGTTTCACCCATGCTATCTCTCTACTTTTGGGCATTATGGTTTGCAATATAGACACTGAGAAGCTATCACGTTTGGTTCTTTATCTACTTTCAGCACACATCTCCCATCTGAACGATTCCTCTGACCATCATTGACGAAGTGATCCCTTCTCTACTCCAGTGCCTTCTCCCCCAGCTCATGAGACAGGCTTCCAACTATGGAGCAATATTCCTGGCCTTTGTCTCTACTGTCCTTGGGTGTCAGTCTCAGATTGTGTTACTTTTTTTAAGTTTTAAAAAAAAATTTTTTTTATTAGTAAAACACCACAAGGTACAGTTATAGACTTATAAATTTTCGTGCTTGGGTTTCAGTTGTACAATGATCAAGTACCCATCCCTCCACCAATGCCCATCCTCCACCACCACGGGTCCCAGCATCCCTCCCACCCCCCACCCCTCCCATCCCACCCTGCCTCTGTGGCAGGCATTCCCCCTTGTTCTCTCTTCTTTTGGGTACTGTGTTTTGCAAGAGAGGCATTGAGTCGCAATCATGTTTGGTCTATAGACTACTTTCAGCATGCTTCTCCCACCCTGGGAGGATCCTCACAACACCCTTTATTTGGTGCTCTCTTCTCTAT